ACAAATGGCAGAGGTTTGCATAAAGTGCTATGGAATATTTGAGGGCTCCACATTCTTTATCTCTCTCACATGAGGCAGCTGAGGAATGGAAGAAGGATAAGTTTTTAGTATAGTGAGAAGGAGAGAACACAGAAAGGGGGCGGGGAAATGGCCATTTTAAAGATTGGCAGAAATTTGAATAAAGGAGGGTGGAGAAATACAGAAAGGAAAGAAATTGAGAGGATAATGGAAGTGTTAAACAACAACAGAGGTTTCCCCTCATCTGTGATTTTCAGCAACTGGTATTCAGAAGCATAATGCGTCTGATAGTGGAGGTAGGGCATAGCCATTGTGGCTTGTAGGCATTGATAAGAGTTACCCTCCATGAATTTGTCGAAGCCTCTTTTACAGGCAGTCAACCTGGTGGCCATCACTGTTGGTTTTTGTTTTGGTTAAAAGAAAATATATATGGTAAATAAGAGGAAAATTCCCTGGATACGTAAGATCCTGGTTTGGGACAAGTACTGTTTGGTGAGAGAACCCAGCAGAGATTTAAAACCAGAAAATATTCAGCCAAGTAAACAGTGGAAACATAGGCAGTTAGACCTTTAACATCCCCTTCGAAGTTCCTTCCAAAGTTCCCCTCTTTCCTTAGCAGAGAAAGAGACCACACATTTGGTAAGTTAAAAGTGGTTTACTTACAAACTCTTCAAAGGTCAAATTCATGCAGCATTTAGAAAACACAGGCAGTAAAGCCTATGTCCCAAAGTAGTGGATGTTTCTAAATTATTTGTATAGAAACATAAAGATGGCTTGCTCAAGCCTCATGGTCTAAGCTTGGAGTATCTAGCTTAGACCTCCTTGCTGGTAGAGTTCACATGGTGGAATTAAAAGAACAAAGGCTTGATAACCCTTCCTCCCAAGGTGAGGGAAAGTAACTTAGCCATGTCTAGCAGGATATCTTTCTCTATGGTCTTAACTCCTTCATGCATTAATTAGATTTAAGTATATTGGTTATATGGAGCTGGATATTCCATAATTAGTACCCTTTGTGGCAGTGAATTTCATAGTTTAACTATGTGCTGTGGGAATAAGTACTCTCCTTTGTCTGTCCTGAATCTTCCAACAGTCATTTTTCTTGGATGTTTTAGTTCTGGCTCCTGTGAGAGAGGGAAATATCCAATGTTGAAAGATAATGCAGATGTGTTTTATGTGATAGCACACCTCCATCAAAGCTTATAATCCACTTCTCCTTTGGCAACTGCTCCCACTGAACTGCAAGCTGCAGTTCTGGAAAAACTTCAAAAGGTGATACATATACTGATTTGGCAGCCATACACCCAAATGCAGTAGTTGGATTTAATTGTTTAATTAAATTCTTTAATTAAATTGGCAATGTTCAATTTTGAAGTTTTTCTTTTTTGTACACCTGGACATCCTTTGATCTTTACTGTACATCCTTTACTTGAAATCAGTGCTATTTTTCTAGAAAAAGAGGTGCCAGAACACCATGAACACCTCTCTTGTTCTCTTATAATTGCAGGCTGTTTATTATTGTTGTTGTTGTTATATTATTATTATTGTTATTATATTATTGTTATTAATATTATTATTGGTTTCTTTTGATTTATTGGTTTGTTTGCTGCTTGTATAGGATTTTTTTTTTATGTTTGATGTTTTGTTGCATTTTATATATGTTGTATGCTACCCAGAGTGGCTGGGGAAACCCAGCCAAATGGGCGGGATATAATTTTTATTATTATTATTATTATTATTAAATGGCCCATCTGAGAGGTGTGTCAGAACTGAGTTCTGGTGAGTTCCAGCTGAAAAAAATTCCCTGCTTGAAATTACAATTACACCACTGTCATAAACTGTATATTTTCCAGCTTCCTATTTTAGCTCACCTATCATCACTTCTTTGCCCAGTATCCATAAAACTGCATTCCTTGACTGCTCATCACAAAAAATTGCCAGAATAATTTAATATGTCAAGTATATAAGCTGATACTTAGCAAGGATAGCAAGAAATAAAAAATTAAAATCCTGTCCTCCATCCTGCGGTTTTGACATATAACAACCAGTTCTTTCGCAGAAGCTCTTCTGAGAGTTATAAGGAGTGTATTTTGGTGTCATTACAGAGAAGGAGTTTAGTAGATCTGTATTTGTCACTCTTTTACAATACTCTAGTGACAACAAGATTCTAAAATGAATACTGCCAGCCGTTAACTAAGCTGAAAATAATATGCTTTTTCAAAATAGCCTGATTCATAGAGCTCAATTGGTGACAGCCTTCCTTCTGAGTCAGTCATATCCAAGGGCACACTCCCAAACCAACTTGGACCAAATTCTTGTTGCTTGCTATGTGGTTGATAAAATGCCAGATTCTGCTGGTGCAATGCATATAATTTGAGGCAACGGCCCAGAACGACATATATTTAGAGCAGATGAGAGAAAGAGAGAATACTGGCAGCCATTGTGCCAATGTACATCATTCCAACACAAAGACCCAGTTCACATAAGCAACTCCCCGCACTCCTTATGTAACTTCAAACTGTGCTACAGAGGCCACTTTTGTGAAGTGGTTCCTACATCATTGCGAACCTTATGACAAAGCCCGGGTGTTTTTGACAGAAGGAGTGAGCAATCAAATTACACAGTCACCTCAAATTTATATTGCTAAGCCCCAAATTCATTGCTGAAATAGTATTTTATGTGATGGAGTCGGGTAGGAAAGGTCACCTACAGCTGAGCTGAAATTCCTTTCATCTCCCGCCGAGCTGAATGGCTTTCTCCTCTCTGTGGCTCTTGTAAGTTCAGGTTCACATATTGAAAGGCCAGTGTACATCTATGATTCCTCTATTCTGGGAATATGCTTTGTTTTATAGAAGAAAAAAGGCTGCCCGCCTTCAGATGACCTGCCTCAACGCTTCTTATATCTGCTGCCTAAGTTATTTGACTCTCTGGCTTTTGTGGAGCAAATCCCAATAGCAAAAAGGTCATCTTCTCTTCAATGTAGCTGACTTCAAACTTTCATCCCATGTTAAAAGTGGCTTTTCGGGGTGTGTTTTTTTAAAGTTAATGTGCTGTGTTGGTTCCATAGGCTGGAGTGTTTATGAATTACTGGCTCAAGAACAGAAGAACAGTATCTAATGTGTCACAGAATCATAGTGTTGGAAGGGACCAAATCTAGCCCCATAAAACACAGCAATTTCAGCTAAAGCATCCATGACAGATGGCCATCCAACCTCTGCTTAAAAACTTCCAAAGATAGAGAGTCCACAACCTCCCAAGGGAGACTGTTCCAACAAGCAGGGGGACAAAAGAATGTAAATATCACTCAAACAGCATCAACGTATCTTTCTAACACTTAAATCAGCCCTACTTTGGCTGGTCATAAAACCATTGGTATTGGCCTAAGTTTTTGTTTTTCTCTACTTCTTTTCTAAGGAAGTTTTCTTGTGATCCTAGCATTTCCAATATGCACGTGTTAATTTTTTCCTGTTTCTCGCTTCCCTTTGTATTTAGTGAATTGGGAAATTCTGGCATGGTTATCCTCATCATGCACATGGAAGCTCTTGCACACATAAGGCTCCAGATCTTACCCCCTGTCCTTTCCCAATGCGTATGAAAATATTAAAATGTTTACTTGTTTTGCAATGATTGCTTCCCCCCCTTTGTTTTTAGCTGTTTCTATTTTAGCAGTAAGCTTCCTTGAGTCCCTGTCAGGGAAAAAGACAGGCAATAAATGAATAATATAAAAGAAATGCGAATAGTCCTTATGATCCATTTGTTTTTCTCATTCCTCAGTCTAAGATAGCCATGATATCTTTCCCATTCTTTCTTTCTTTCCTCCCTGAAGACAGCTATGGCAGTGTGTGTGTGTGTGTGTGTGTGTGTGCGTGTGTGTGCAGGCAAGGTGGGAGATTATGCCTTACTGCTTTGACCCCTTACAGGGCTCGCAGTCCCAGATGGGATTTGTACAGATTTAGATGTGGGTCTTTCTTTCATCTGTGATCCTCCTTCAGTTTTTCATCAGATCCCCTGCTACTGCTTTTTTCCTCCAGAGGAAAGGCTCCAGAGACCTATTTGAGCTACTTATTTTCAGTCAGGCCTGCCTGAGAGGGTCAGAAGGTGAGCAGCTGTGATAATGGACTAGCAAATGGCAGGGAAATTCGTGAAATAACTTCAGTGCTTTAAGCCATGTTTGGATTGCAGTGTTTATTAAATGTAATTGTTTTTGTAACTCATGGGTGGGCAGCTGCTACTTTTCAGGAGGGGAAAAAACCTATTCTTTACTAGTTTGGTTGCTTAAATGCCTCTGACCCTGAATCAACCGCAACCAATCAAGATGGAGTCAAGGCGCTTAAACTGTGATTATAGAAAGAATATTAGATCCCATAAACTGCATAGCTACACACCATCCCATTTTCTGCCTTTCTACTCACCGAAGCCAACAAGCAAAAGACAAGTGAATGTCAACATAATATTGCACAGAGGTTTTCCTGCACCTTAGGATAAGCCATGCCTAAATATAATGAACTTCACTGTTGTAAACAATATAAATTGGGACCTGAGATGGGGAGAACTTTACCCAAGGCACCGCAGCTTATTGCATATTTCCATCAAACTGGATCCTAAAGTGTTTCACAGAATGAAATAGTACAAGACCCTATGTCGTATGCGCTACAAAAAGACTGCGGAGAGAAAGAATAAAATTGGGTGGCCCAGGGCTTTGGCTCTGATCCTCACAGCACTCTGACAGCCCAAGTTAATTGGACCTTGAAAACACCTCCACACCTTACAGAATCTGCCTGTGCCCTCCAACATTCCTCCAACGAAAATAGGGGCATCCTATTCCATAGTAGCAGCAGTAGTAATTTTATTATTATTTATACCCCGCCCATCTGATTGGGTTGCCTCAGCTACTCTGGGAGGCTTCCAACATACATAAAAACATAATAAAACATTTTTAAAAACTTACTTAAACAGGGCTGAAATATATATAAAAATAAATAAATTGTCCAGTAGCACCTTAGAGACCAACTAAGTTTGTTCTTGGTATGAGCTTCCGTGTGCATGTATACTTCTTCAGATACCATCTTAGTTGGTCTCTAAGGTGCTACTGGACAATTTTTTTTATATATTTCTACTGGTCAGACCAACCCGGCTACCTACCTGAATCTTAAACAGGGCTGCTTTCAGATGCCTTCTAAAGGTAGTATAATTACTTATCTCCTTGGCTCAGGGGTTGCATAACTCCAGTGCTTTTTTCCTAAAAAAAATGTTTAGGGGTACTCTCATATTGACTCAAGAAAATCACCATTTTATAGTTCAAATTGGGGGAAATAAATACAGTAAATGGACAAAAATATTCACAAAATGTTTAGGGGTATGTGTACCCCTGCATCCCCACAGAACAAAAAAAAGCACTGCATAACTCAATATCCCAATGAAAATACCTGTAGGGACATCCCAAGGAAAAGTGGGTCAATCCGGGATCAAATCAGAAACTGGGATGGCTAATGTAAATCCAGAACTGTCCCTGAAAAAGAGGGACACTTGGAAGGTCTGTCTGCCCACCAATTTTAATCTTGAAGATTCTTTGTCAGCTAATTTTGAAATTACCAATGGGTAATTCAATGCAAAGGGACGCGGGTGGCGCTGTGGGTTAAACCACAGAGCCTAGGACTTGCCGATCAGAAGGTTGGCAGTTCAAATTCCTGCAACGGGGTGAGCTCCCGTTGCTCGGTCCCTGCTCCTGCCAACCTAGCAGTCGAAAGCACGCCAGTGCAAGTAGATAAATAGGTACCGCTCCGGCGGGAAGGTAAACGGTGTTTCTGTGCGCTGCTCTGGTTCGCCAGAAGCGGCTTAGTCATGCTGGCCACATGACCCGGAAGCTGTACGCCGGCTCCCTCGGCCAATAAAACGAGATGAGCGCCATAACCCCAGAGTCGGCCACGAATGGACCTAATGGTCCGGGGTCCCTTTACCTTTACCTTTAATTCAATGCAAAACCAATGTCCCACCACCCCTGAAGCTCATATTGCTACTTAGCAAACTAGAACCCTGTGTTCATGTGATGCAGAAATGAAAGCATGGAAGGAGTATCAGGGGCATCGATCAACTCAAGGTGTCCCTTGTGCAGAGGCAGCACATGTACTCAAGTGGACAACCCATTCTCACAGTTTTTGCAGGGGATGGCTCAGACATATTGCAGCCTATGTGCTGTAGACTGCTATGCAAATTTTGCAAACTTGGAGGCTATTTTGCAGTATGTGAAAGTATTCAAGTCTTTGGAGTATTGGTTTCCCATTTATTTTTATGAATATAAAATTCTAATTCAAGGTAGGGGACTGCCTCTGCCAGTTAATTTATTTATAATATGTCTAGTTGCACATATTAAATATGATTACTGTGGGTTACATATGTCTTCAGCACTTTGTGCCTTTGAAATTGCCGTGAGGCTACACAAGATGGCTGCATAAAGCTAAAATAATTAGTCTAACTGCTTGGAGCGGGATCTTTTGTTTGTTTCATTACCAGGCTCCAGAAGAATGATGTTTAAGTAGCATTAGTAGCTAAGTTTAAAGTTTATTTTTTTTAAGGAGAAGGTTGCTAGAAGCTTTTCACATATGTTTCCTTACTATGATCATTCTCTGTGCAACCACGGAGGCAAGTTTTCAAAGTTCACCAAGGTTCTCTGGTGACACCCTGTGAATTAAAAATATATATGTTCTATATGGAACAGCTGGAAGTGAGGCATATTTATCTTTCCAGTAGTAATGAGCCCTTGCAGAGCTCTTGAAAGGCAGAAAGGCAGAAAAAGAAGAAATAAGAAAAATATTGTAAGGTCACAAAGTTAGAGATTAGTTCTGAAAGAAGACTAGGCACTAGGGATGTTGGAGAATTCCAACCAAAATAGAAAGAGGAGTGGAAATTGCAGATTTTCACTTGTTAATCCCATCGTGCGAATGTGGTTGGTATTCACCCTTGTTGCTTTAAGTCCACAATGGATATGTTGTTGATTAAGTCCCCACTGCTCACATTTGCATTGTGCTTCATTTGCACTGAAATGAATGGGGTTGGATAATATAATGACTACCTAGTGAGTCATGAGGATAATATAAATGACTAGTGAGACAAATTGCATAGTTCTTTGGCAGAAGACAAACTGTGGCATATTGGAAACAGTGCTGCAGGAGACAAACCCAGAAAACAATGATTTCAGGCACAGGATTCATTGAAACCTAATTTGACTTTTGATTTTGTTGTTGTTTACACAGAGGTCTCTAAGTGGCTATCATATGTAAAAACATATGCACAGCATATGTGGAAACGTAAACATTGGGGCGGGGGGAGGAAATGTATTAGCAATACAGTCACACAAATATACATGCAAAACGCCCACCCTGCCTCATACAGCCATAGAAAGCTTTTGCAGCACGCTAACAGGAAAAACATATTGAAAGTCCATCAAAAACCTGACAGGGGAAGAATGGGAAAGTAGGGTAAATTTCTACCTGGTGCCCAAAAGATGTTTGGTAGACCTCACTTGGGAGAAATTTCCCTAAATGGGGAGTTACAACCTAGGAATGGATGAACTGTGTGCAATGTTCTCGAAGAAGAAAATAACATCTCTGTGTCTATTTCTTTCTTCTGATGGTATAATGCTGCTTTTGGATAGTGAATTCCAAGCCAATGATTTAGGTAAATGTATTGCTAGGAATGCAAGATTATTCATAGTCGAACAATTAATACAGATTGACATCTTTATTGCTGATGTACCTGGGTGACTTTGTGGTACACAGTTTGGTTTAGGTTCATGCAGTTCTCATGATATGCTCATGAGAAACATATGTCACCTAGTTGTCACCTTTGACCTCTTAAAATATTTTCTCGACTGTGGTCCTGAATTATTTTCCATGCCTCATTAGAACTTGTGCACAGAGACACAGTTTGCAGGAGGAGATTATCTCCTTTCTCACAGAATCCCATTGTGGCCATTTTTCTTTCCTGTCACCTCTAAAGGATTGAAAGCTGTCTTGAAATGATCTGAGAGAAGATGGCATTCAGCAGTTTTAAGGGAGCGGAAAATGGAGAAGAAGAAAAAATTAAGAACAGAGAAAACATAAGATTAGAAAGAAAGAAACAGTTTGCTAGTACATCAAATCCTCCCCTCCGAAAAGGCTAATCCTGATAGGCACTTTTTGTGACATTACAAGAAGAAAAGCAATATCTTTTATTTCCAGCACATGCGACCTTTATCCTTATCGACCTCCTCAGCATACAGCATTTTAGAGGCATTGCCTCTGGTTTCAGATGTTTTGTATCTGCCTTTTGCTCTTTCTTCCCTAGTGAAGTCTGAGGGAGACACCTTTTGCTGTACTTTGATCTTCTCTCTTCTATGCAACCTCAGCCACAATGGCAAGCCAGCTAGATAAGGAGGAGATGTCATCTATCTTTTATGAAAGACTATTGTATAGTTTCCAGAACACATTCCTTGCTTTTGAAACAGGCTTCGATTTTGTTTTAGTATCCCGCTTGCTTAAAAAAAATAAAAAAGGCAAAGCCCATAAGATAAAAATTCCAAATTGCACAGCTTTGGATTTTGAGTGAGTAAGTTAGTTCATTGTATTGCATTGCCTAGCTGGCCAGAAAGGAATTTCCCCATGACTCGAACCCTAATTGACCACTTTGAACCTGGCTCACTAGCCAGGCAGTCATGTCCCCCTGGCCGCGACAGCCAGGGGAAAACCCTCATCCTCCATAAGGACAGAAAGGCTCCTGAGACTGCAGCAGGAGGGCCTGACGGAGCTCATCACAGCCACGGCAATTCCTCTTGGGCCTTTCTGATGACATGACGGGCCCTGTCAGGCCTCCTTCTGCCATGTGACATCATACATGTGGTGTGTGTGACATCACACATGCACATCAGGCACCCACATTGTTGGGCAGAACCCAGAGCACCTGCTCAGGTGGCCACCATTGCCATTATAAGAATAGTAATAGTAATTTATTATTTGTACCCTGCCCATCTGGCTGGGTTTCCCCAGCCACTCTGGGCGGCTTCCAACAAAGATTAAAAATACATTAAAATGTCACATATTTAAAACTTCCTTGAACAGGGCTGCCTTCAGATGTCTTCTAAATGCCATGTAGTTGTTTATCTCTTTGACATCTGATGGGAGGGCGTTCCACAGGGCGGGTGCCACTACTGAGAAGGCCCTGCCTGGTTGCCTGTACCTTAGCTTCTCGCACTGAGGGAACCGCCAAAAGGCCCTTGGCGCTGGACCTCAGCGTCCAGGAAGAATGATGGTGGAGATGCTCCTTCAGGTATACTGGGCTGAGGCCGTTTAGGGCTTTAAAGGTCAACACCAATAAGAGAACAAGGGACGCATTCATGGTGAATTCCAGAATCATTTTTTCTAGAAAAATAGCACTTCTTTCCTGCCCATCTGGCTGGGTTGCAAAGAGAACGGAGGAAGACCTTGGGTTGGTGCCAATTTAAGAAGTCTGACTGTCACGCCTTCCGAAATGGGCTGGAAAGCCCTTACGTGACCAACAGCCACCCCTCCCCAAGTGAAACTATTCAGGGCTTCTCAGATAAGAGGGCTGTGTGGCAAATTCACCCTCACTGCCAAGAGTGGCAGTGGCATTCTCAATACTTCAGTTGTGTATTATGGTGAATTTCAAGGACATCAAGCAATGCACTTCTCTAGATAAATAGAAATACAACCACTGATTAACATTTAATATTGGAGAAATAAAAATACAGTCCACTGGCTCACATTTGAATGCTTCAGGTAAATTATACATGAAATTCCAGACACATATCCTCGCACCAAATGTAGAAGCTCTTACTTGAAGGTAAGTAATGCTAAAATCAATGGGAATCATGTCTAAGTAAATACATTTAGGTCTTTGATACTGGCACTCCGCATTTTAAAAAGGTCATGTTCCCTTACAGAATAAGGGAACATAAGCTCTTGACACAGCAGTAATAAACTAATGATAGGAAAAGGGTGAGCATCAGATTTATTCTAACCAACTGCAGCCACTTAGAGGTTAACCGTTTTTCCTGAAATTGATTAAGATGAAACTAATAAGAACCTCCAGAACAAAAATAGTAATTTTAATACTTTGCAATATCTTTCATCATACAGCAGAGGAAATAGTTCTAATTTGCACAGGCACTCTCAAGAATATAGATTTAATTAGCAGATATCTGTCTTATTTATTATAAAAAAGCTGAAAAATTTATAAAATCACCTCAAGGGTACGAAACTACTGCTTACTGTTTAATACTGATTTTATTGACATTTCCATTATACCGATAAAGAATAATGTACAGATTAAGTCGTTTTGTAGCCAGAAGAAAAAAAGATTTTCTTTTTAGTGAAACACTCTGTCAGGAAAAGATGAATAATAAACAAAACCAATCAGATTATTATTATTATTATTATTATTATTATTATTATTATTTAAAATATGGTATTTGACATCTTGAGAGTCTTGCCTTGCATGTAAAAAGTGAATTCTTAGTCCTAGTGAATAGAGTGCAGTAATTTAGATACATATTTGTGGTGAAGCCTCAGAAACATTTGGGGTGGGGTGGGAGAAACTGCCTATACATCCTGTGCAAGGAAACTGTTAACACTCTCCCCTTTATTCCTCTGGTTATTCAGACTCCTCTCAAGCTTGAAAGTCTGTCCAGTGATGATGCTTTATCCAGTCCCTCAGTGTCCTTTCGTGCTCAGGGATGGGGCACCTTTTCTGACCGGTGGGCCAGAGCCTTATCTCTCCATTCCTAAAGGGCCAAATTTGACAGATGGCTAGTGCATACCCTCCAACATTTCTCCAATGAAAATAAAGGTAAAGGGACCCCTGACCATTAGGTCCAGTCGTGGCCGACTCTGGGGTTGCGGCGCTCATCTCACTTTATTGGCCAAGGGAGCCGGTGTACAGCTTCCGGGTCATGTGGCCAGCATGACTAAGCCGCTTCTGGCGAACCAGAGCAGCGCACGGAAACGCCGTTTACCTTCCCGCCGGAGCGGTACCTATTTATCTACTTGCACTTCATACTTTCAAACTGCTAGGTTGGCAGGAGCAGGGACCGAGCAACTGGAGCTCACCACATTGTGGGGATTCAAACTGCCGACCTTCTGATCTGCAAGCCCTAGGCTCTGTGGTTTAACCCAGAGTGCCACCCGCGTCCCTCCAATGAAAATAGGGACATCCTATTCCATAATGATGACGGTGATGATAATAATTTTATTATTTATACCTCGCCCATCTGACTGGGTTGCCCCAGCCACTCTGGGCAGCTTCCAACATATATAAAAACATAGTAAAACATTAAACTTAAAAAAACCTTACCCTGTACAGAACAGCCTTTATATGTCTTCTAAAGGTTGTATAGTTACTTCTCCTTGATTCAGGGGTTGCATAATTCTATACCCTTCAATGTTTCTCTGATGAAAATAGGAAAAGCGGAACATTCCAGGATCAAATGAGAGACTGGCATGGATTCTGTAAGTCTGGGATGGCGCTTCCGTGCTCTCTGCTTTCTGTCACGGTGTTCCGTTTTGGCAGAAGCAGTTTAGTCATGTTGGCCACATGACCCGGAAAGCTGTCTGTGGACAAACGCCGGCTCCCTCGGCCTGAAAATCGAGATGAGCGCCACAACCCCATAGTCGCCTTTGACTGGACTTAACCATCCAGGGGTCCTTTACCTTTTACCTTTACCTTACTCCCAGGTAAATGAAACTTATGATATGCTTATCATAGAATCTGGGCTTTATTCCACAGCATCCAGATATCTTTAAATTTTGGTTCAGAATACTTATGGTCCTGAATATGAATCATGGACACACAATATTTTCATACTTATCCCTGCTGCGCCTTGAAGTCCTCAGTTCTGAGGAGATTTCTGCACTCTGAGCTTTGAGCGCACTGCTGTTGTACTTTCTACGAACAAAGCTGACCTGAATTCATTCTTTGGAAGGGAGACTGAAACACAGTAAATTACATCTTTGTCATCTCCTCAGTGTAGTGAGGTCAACTATGGCCAGAGAAAGCTGAGCAGCACTTGCTGAGTTACAGGGGAACAGTTCCCTGGTGCTTAGAGAGCCCGACAGCTGCATAGGTCTATTTGACCTGTGCTATAGTTGATAAATGAAAGTACTTTTAGAGTTATCCTGTTGTTAGTTCCTACGAAATCGTAAATTGCTTTGGGGAAATGTCATTATGCTCTGAAAGCAAAGAGGATGTCAGCAACAGCCTTTAGCGTTAGTTCTGTGTTAGAATGAAAGATACCTGGTCCTCTGCCATCTATATTTCTCTTAGGAAACCTTCAGAGCACTTCCCATCTTACACAACCTCAAATTCTTTGAAGGTCTGATCACTGCAACCAGGTAATATGGAGAACTCATTCGGAAGCATATTCTTGAGGCTTGGAGAAAGGTACTGTGAAAATGAGAATGGGAGATTTATCTAGTCGTAAGGAAGGGAGGAAAGAGAGGGAGGAAAAAGAGAGAGAAAGAAAGAAAGAAAGAAAGAGCGGAAAGAAAGAAAGAAAGACCTGAAAGACACTGCATAGCGGACCTAATTATGACTGGTAATTTGGTGTTAATTTGATTAAATTTTTGTTTATTGTTATAGGGGTGTATTGTACTTATATGCAAGTTGCTTGCGTATGCCTGTGAATGTATTTGTGCACGCTCATTTTTAACAGTTTTGTGGCATTTAGCTGTATCTTATCATGTACAATTTTATTATGCACACAGCTTAGAGAGTTCTTTGTTTAAGCTGTTTATAAACCATTCAAAATAAAAAAAAGATTAGAAATGTGTTCAGGTGCTTGTCAGAAAGCGTCTACATGTGTTGATTTTCAAAATCCCTATTTTTAAAACTTAAATGCATTCACGAGAATATTTTAACCAGCTAGAATGAGATGGTGGCGGAAATCTTAAACATGATTATTGCACATGCACATTATTGCACATGATTCTGTTGTGTGCGTCCATATGGACCAAGTCAGAAGACCATCTCCAACATAAAGTTTTGTACCCTGAGGATGGTGTTCAGATTTGTCTTTGAACATCTGGTGTGTATTCATGGGAATAATTCCAAGCCATCAGAAATAACAGGACTTTGACTTATCCAGTTGAGGTGACACCTCATAAAGCCAAATTCATGGCAGAGGTTCTTGTTTCCAGCAGTTCCAACCTCTTCTAAATAGCTTCCTGCTTTAATACATGATGAAGGGTCAGAAATGATGGGGTTAGTCATCCCAAACAGGCTGGAGGTCAACAGATTGAGGGAGACTTTCTAGACTGAGGGTAGAATCCAACCAGTGCCCTCACACATGGGCATAGCCAGGATTTTTGTTAGGGGGCAGGTTTTTGTTGGGGGGCAGTCTTTTGTGAGAAGGGGCAGAACCTCAGATTTGTATTGATTGATTTTGATTGATTATGGGGGAAGCTGCCCCCTGGCTACGCCAATACCTCCACACCTGTTGAAGACCTTTTGATCTTATGCCTGCCTCTGCTAATGGGTGAGGAGGGGAGTCCATTTTCCCAGTTCCCCCCTCTTTATGCAGTCCTCAGCACCCCAACCAGATGAAAATCAGCTCCAGAGAGTTGGGGTACCCTCCAAAACAGTGTGAAAGGTGGTGTAGGTTGCCAATGGAGGAAGGGGAATTTGATCGGACTTGTTAGGTGAATCCCGGCCTATGATTTTATAAATTAGCCTAAATATTATAAGGGGCAAATCAATATGCATGTGTACATAATCACTCCTATTCTAATATATATCTCAGTAGAAGAAAACAAAACTATGAAAACTTTGCATTTGATTTGACATAGTGAAAAGGATGATTGCGTTTCTATGTTCTTTTTACTTGAGCTTCTATCTTTTATGTTAAACCCTGGTATTTAATTTCAGTCAGTGGTTTGTGGTTGAGACTTTGCTACTGCTTTGAATTGGGAATGTTCTGTTGGTACCGCTGGAGTTATAAATTTAATCTTGATTGCACCAAATCTATGTCATCAAAACGCTTTTTCCTTCTTTCAATGCTTGCATGTAAAATTAATTTTGTTGCTGGGGTTTTAAATTTCCCTATTCTCTTCTCAGTTGCTCCATTATTTGTCTACATATTGTGTTGTCTTATTATTATTATTATTATTGCTTGATTTCTCTTGCCATCCAGGAGTCTAACTGCAGCAGTAAGAGTTGAACAAATAATGTCACCGTTTTTGAAAAGCAGGAGGGAGGCAATCATTTTAGTTGCAAATGATGCTATAATAAATAATGAGATTCATTCGGTTAAATCCTTCCTTAGAACCTGGAGAGTAAAATAGGACTTCTTTAATGGCATGGCATAAAGGGGCAATTTTGTCTGCAGAATGGTGATTTGATTATCATACATTTCCCACAGGGCTTCAGTGCTGAATCAACTCAGAAAACAGCCTCTACCAGTAACACCATATTGAAAATGTTTGGGCAGAAGCACCGGATAGAGACCAAGAGGAAAATCTGTGTATATAAATAGTGATATCTGCGAAGAGAATCTCAGAGGGGGACAAATAAATTTAAAAATTGCAGTCGAAATAAATTTTAAAAATGTCCAGTAGCACCTTAGAGACCAACTAAGTTTGTTCTGGATATAAGCTTTCGTGTGCATGCACACCTCTTCAGATACCTTCAGATATCACATGAACGCTTATACCCAGAACAAACTTAGTTGGTCTCTAAGGTGCTACTGGACAATTTTTAAATTTATTTTGACTGCATCAGACCAACACGGTTACCTACCTGAATCTAGAATCAGAGGGGGACAGGGATAGAAGTACAGGACCAAGAAAAAAACAACGTATGCTCTTTTAAACTTCTTTCTATCCCTCTACCCCTGCTTCTTTGGCCCATCCCACAAACTAATTTAAAAATATGATGGCTCTGAAGGGGAGGGATTGAGTTTCTTTTAGCATCTATCAAATACAGTTTGTGACTGGGGAAGGCTGTGTGATCCTTGTTGATACTGGGCTCATCCAGACTGCCTTTTCTGCTGCGTTTCTAGGCACACGTGCATACCCTCCAACTTTTCTCCAGTGAAAATAGGGACATCCTATTCTATTATTATTATTATCCATGATGATGATGAGGGTGGTGGTAATAATAATAATAATAATAATAATAATAATAATAATACCCGACCTACCTAACTGGGTTGCCCCAGCCACTCTGGGCAGCTTCCAATATATAAATAATAATAATAAAACATTAAACAATTTTTTAAAAAAAACTTCATTATACACGGCTGCCTTCAGATGTCTTCTAATGGTTGTATTGTTACTTATCTCCTTGGGGGGTCACACAACCAAACGCTCCAACATTTATCCAATGGAAACAGGGACATCCTACCATACCCTCAAACATTTCTGTGATGAAAATAGAGACGTCCTAAGGAAAAGCAGAACATTCCGGGATCAAATCAGAAACCAGGATGGCTTCTGTAAATCCGGGACTGACTGGAAAATAGGGACACTTGGAGGGTCTGCAGTTGCAGGATTTAAAGCTCTGTGCCTGGGCGTCATGGTTATTATTATTTTGATCCCAGGGAAAATCTGCATTTTACCGCTGAATCGGAGCAAATAGCAATTGGGTTTTCTGTGGACTGACATTTACTATTCATTGTGAAATCATGGGTTTAAACGCAGGCCTTGACCTGGATAGTGCATTGCCAAAGGAAGTCTGGATAAGCCTGTTGTCCCATTCCCTGTTCTGGAAGTGTCATTCTCCTTGCTTACGCTTAGTGCATTGATTTTTCACATGCTCACACACTTAGGGCATATTCCCATGACAAGCAATGTGGAAGGCAGGCCTCAGCTGAATTTTGTTTCGACTGTTGTGTTGAAGACTTTGAGAGACAGCTGCACAATAATATTGTGTCCCAGGAAACCTACTCTGGGCTATTTTCAAAGGAAGCAACTTTGCAGCAATGTAAAAAAAAAAAAAACAAAACAAACCCTTTAAAGTCACATTGCCACTTGCAAGCCATGACATTGCAAACTTTAAAGGCTGGCATTCCCAGGGCAGCGCTTCTTACTTTAAAAGAAGGCTTTGAACTTGCAATCTGCTATATGAATAGAAACCCCTTAGTGACAAGAAGCCTTTATTGCAATGGCTGGCAAACTTTAAGAATGAAATAGATGCTCAAAGGTCAGAAGAGTATAATTGGTATCCTATTTAAACCCTGTGATTTAGACCTGGCTTTTAGTAGCATGGGGCAAACTCATTTTCTCTCGTTTAAAACCAACTCAGATCTTACAGGCTCAAGACTCCCATTTCATACTTAGATTGGATACATAGAAACTTTTTCTACTTAAAAAGGAATGGTTGGGGGTGAGGGAAAGGAAGCACAATTCCAAAAAGTGAAATCTTAGCGTAGTACAAATATTCAAGGAGATGTGAACTTGGAAATTGATTCAACTTACCAAATTTAAAATCTTCAGCCTAAGCCTTACCTAATTTTGAGAAGTTTCCTTAAGGATCAGCAGCCTCTCATGTTACAACTTCATTCGTCCTCCTAATTGCTTGCATATTTGGCGGTCGGAAAGCAGCGATGGGAAGGACAAACAGCTTCCATGGAATAGAAATGGCTTCCCCTTCCTTGAGAAGGTGTGCTCCTACCTGCACACACCTTGCTCCAGCAAAGGAACAATTGGGAGTCCACTTTGAGCTTTGAAGCCTTGCTCTTAGTCACCCTACACTTGACATAATGTGGATGACGGATGGTGGGTAGGCACAACTTCCCAAAACAGCCCTGTGGGTCACATGGGGAGGTAAGTGGGCAGTGGCTTAGCATGGTTTGCCAGTGCCTAGGGTCACGTATTCATGCACATTCAACTGCCTAACAGCGTCTGATCACAGCTGCAGAGATAAGAAAAGAAGAGTACTCTGGAGAGGTCACTTCCTGGTTTGCATGGAGAAGCATTTTCAATGGAGCTCAATGACAGAAGTGCACAGCTGGATTGAGGCAGCACATGGTGTTGAAAACTTGCACCTCCTAACAACTTTGTCCCCAGGGCAACTGCCCCTCCCCCCCCACTACGCCATTGTTGGTGGGTCACATTTGGCCTGCAGTCTAGATTTTCCCTGTCCCTGTTTTAGCACTTGTGTTGCATGCTGAAGATCCCAAGTTGAGTCCTTTGCATCTCTAGGTAAGGTCAAAAAGGGCTCATGTCTCAACTAACTGGGGAACTTAGAAATCAAGACAATAACAAATATAAAAAAGAATGGGAAATGTCTAATGCATATATACAGAAGCATTGTAATGAAGTTGTTATGTACTGAAGTTCTCACCCTGGGCCAGCAGGGGGATACTGTAGATAGTTCAGGTGCAAATAAGGGATTGAAAGTGACGTTCAGTGATTGGATAGTTACAGAAAATGCAAATAAGGGATTGAAATGCAAATAAGGGATTGAAAGTGACGTTCAGTGATTGGATAGTTACAGAAAATGGTTACTGTTGCGTTCTAGTGGAGCTCTGTATAAGCAGGCTGGCTGAACCCTTCAGTTCAGTTCTGTTCTGGCCTATGAATAAACAAGAGCTGTTTGAAGAATCGCTGTTCACCCACAACTTAACAGAAGTGAATACGGCAGGGTTTTAAAAATATTTGTAATGTTATCGGTAATGTTTAAACTTGGTGGTAATTAGAGATAAAGACTTTATTGACATGCATAAATGAAGATAAAATAAAGGAACCAGGGGAGGGAGTGGAGGGATTTAATATTAAATTTCATGCTTTTTAAACTTTTTTATTTTCCTTTAATGTACTGATTTTGTTTACAGTGGTACCTCGGGTTAAGAACTTAATTCGTTCTGGTGGTCTTTTCTTAACCTGAAACTGTTCTTAACCTGAGGTACCACTTTAGCTAAAGGGGCCTCCTGCTGCCGCCGGTGCACGGTTTCTGTTCTCATCCTGAAGCAAAGTTCTTAACCCGAGGTACTATTTCTGGGTTAACGGAGTCTGTAACCTGAAGCGTCTGTAACCCGAGGTACCACTGTATTGTGAAAATTAATAAAAACATTATTATTTTTAAAAAGGGCTCATGTCTCAAACCTTGAAAAGCCATGGTCAGTGAGTGTAGTAGATAATACTGAGCTAAATGGACCAATGGTCTGGCTCCTGAGTGAGTATCCTAGATTCCAGAACTTCATATACATTCCTCAGGAAAGTGGGATCACCAGCAGAATGTGGCTCTACAATTTCCCATGAAAATATTGCTCCTATTAAGCTTTAAAAGGGCAATAAGTTAGGAGATAGGAAGATACCCATTAACATATATATATGACAGGAAACTTAATCTCCTTGGCTGTTTCCATTGCATAGAAATCATTGCGTGCAAAGGGGATTTCATAGTCACATTCCCAGACTTGTCTATTTATTATAATGTATTTAAAATACACCCCTCCTTTCCTCTGAAAGAGCTCAAGATTGTAACACAAGTTATAACAAATATGATAAAACCAAATGATTAAAAACGTCCACCGAAAGATAAACACATGAAGCGCAAAGCGGCTATTAAAGCAATCGATTATCTTCTGGCAGTGAAAACAATTCAACGTTTTGCCACATTCGGCTCCCACCAGAGTGAAAAGTCAAAGTCTGATGCTACTTGGTGGCTTCAATAAACAGCAAACTCAGATTGCATCAACAGCTGTCCCGTTGTAATTCTCATCCCAGAGTTTATGTGAGTTTGGGACTGGATGCATGCAGCTGCTGCTGTCACTTCGATGCCTACATTCAAAATCAGCGCTCAGCTGTTTAAGGCTGCTTGCAGCCATTGTCAGCTGTGTCAAAAGGATTAGCACGCACCCAGCATTCTTAAGTCCCATTGTGGCAAAAATACTGCAGGAATGTCAAAATAGGTCCTAGAGAGCAGGTGGGAAGAATACTAACTCAGCAGGACATAGAAGAGATGCAAAATGGCACAGGGCAGACAGGACTGAAGAACTGAGCCTGGGAAATATTGGGGAAGACATAAATCAGTTTTAGTCCCGATTACTGAAAATAGTAAGTTTATTTATCTGCAGCAATCATACCCCACCCTTTAGCCCAAAAGGCTGTCAGGGTGGCTTCTAAAATGGTCCCTCCTCTCTGGATCATAATAAAAAATTCTAGAGGGATATTTTCTTGATGCAATTAGGAGGGGTTATTCTTTTTTTCCAGGTGGGTAACAGAGAACAAGAAGCACAAAGGGGGTACCTTTCATTCTGTATTTTCTTGTGGGGGGAAATGGAGAAGCGTGGAGCTCTTTGGACTTTCCAGCTGGATGTTTGCTGAATTTCCACAAATATTCCAGAATCTGTTTCAGGTTTCAGAAGGCATGGATCAGGGACAACAGTTTCTGAAAGGTTGAGGTTTCTCTGAGGCAGAAGGTTTTGATGTACTCATGCATGCCAATGAAAACTTTTTTTAAAAAACCAAACCACAATGAAGCCCAACAGAATGGAGGCAAGAAAAATCAATAGTCAATTCTGGCATGTCTTCATGCTTTTGTTGCTGAATTACACCTGGATCAGAATCTCTAGGTCTAGGATAAAGGCCGTACAGGATGCTTGACTTTGGAAAACTTTTTACTGAAAGCGTGAAATAGAAGATGCTGCCTTGCTTCCTTCATAACCCTTAAAGGAGTAGTCACTAGGCAGATGTAAAATATTGTTTTCATACCAACCCCTCAGTATTTGTAACAGCATAGAGTGTAGCAGGGTGGAACTATTCTTAGACAACGTGAGGTGATAAACCTAAGGTAGGTAGTTTGATGTTGCAGTGATCCTATTTAGTGGTACCTCGGGTTAAAAACTTAATTCGTTCCGGAGGTCCATTCTTAACCCAAAACCGTTCTTAACCTGAGGTACCACTTTAGCTAATAGGGCCTCCCGCTGCTGCTGTGCCGCCAGTGCACGATTTCCTCATCCTGAGGTAAAGTTCTCAACCCGAGGTACTACTTCCGGGTTAGGGGAGTTTGTAACCTGAAGTGTTTATAACCCGAAGTGTTTGTAACCCGAGGTACCACTGTATCTATCTATCTATCTATCTATCTATCTATCTATCTAATCTATCTATATCTATCTATCTATCTATCTATCTATCTATCATCTATCTATCTATCATCTACCCACCTATCTATCTATATCTATCTATCTATATCTATCTATCTATCTATCTATCTATCTATCTATCATCTATCTATCTATCATCATCTATCTACTGTATCATCTATCTATCTATCATCTATCTATCTATCTATCTATCATCTATCTATCTATCTATCTATCATCTATCTATCTATCTATCTATCTATCTATCTATCTATATCTATCTATCATCTATCTCTATCTATCATCTATCATCTATCATCTATCTATCTATCATCTATCATCTATCATCTATCATCTATCTATCTATCATCTATCTATCTATCTATCTATCTATCATCTATCTATCATCTATCTCAATCATCTATTAGAATGTTAGCCACTTTGAGACTCCCTCGGGTAGTGATAAAGAGGGATATCAAATCCAAACTCTTCTTCTTATTATTGTATATACCTGCAGGTCTATCTAACTCTATATTTAGCATACCCTCAACATTTTGGGTGGGAGGGCAATTTGGGGCACCTGCCCCACCATCCCATCTGCCCCATCACTCACCCCCTCCCTGCTTCTGATCCCTTCCTCGCCCACTTGCTTGCTCAGCCCCTACTGTTCCTACTTCCATCTGCTGTCCTGCTCAGCCTCAGGGGAGCATTGGGAGACGCTGCAGGGACCAACGTGGCCTTGGAAGTCATTAAGGGTTGGGATCAGAAGCCGAGGCACCTTCTGTCCATCCATAATGTCCCACTTAGAATGGGACAATTGGAGTGTATGCACTATCTGTCTATCTTACCATTAGGGGGAGCCGTTCCTTGGGCTGCCTCTACAACAGGAGAACCAAAGTGGTACCCTGAAGATTTTGCATTCATGTTGCTCCTGCTCCATTTCCTCAATATACTCCCCCACAACAGTCTTTCAAATAATATGATCGGCCTCTTCTAATGCTTTAGAGTTTGGGATATTTGCTTGAAGGGGGCTCTTGCTGTCAAATGTGTTACTCTCAAATATCCTCCTCTTTGGGTCGTCCAAAAGACCTATTCACATACTGCTGCCTGATCCTGTGTGGGTTTAAAGTCTGGGAACCAGCTTTCAAGTTTACCACCAGGAACAATGGTGTCTTTGAGCAGCACAACATGAGCTGGTCAATCACCCAAATATGTCTGTTTTTCTTTTCACTGACTTTTCTGCAACCTCCTCATCACAAGTTCTGGTTCAGGCTGACTGTGGCCTTAGGCAACTACATGTCTGGAATTTCCTTTTCCAGCTTGGAGCAACACAGCTTGAATTAATGTAGAAGAAGCTGCTGCACAGCTTTAATGGAGGAGTTTATTCAGCTGCATTGCCAAAGTTATGCTGATGTTTTCTGTATGACGTCTTGGCCTGTGTTTTAAGCGAAGGAAGGCTTTTCTTTGTTTTCTTTTAAAAAAATAAGAATCTATATTGTATTTATCATGTTGCAGGTGCTGCTTAGAGATTCTAATTTAATTCGTCATTTAAATTCTCTGTCACCTGTGTGGAGGGGAATGTTGTGACCAGAAGCATGCTAGTACTTTAATACATATAAATTATTTTATATTGTTATAGATTTGGGGTGGGGAACCCCCTAAACCCTAGACATTAATAAATGCTAGAATTTTGATTATTTGGGATATGAAGGGAGAATGCAAGTTGCAGGAGAATTCGTGGGCTAGCCTATGCAAAATGAGCTGGCCAAGGTAGGGCCATTAAGAAACAATAGGGGGGCATTGAGAGCCATTGGCAATGCAAGAGAACTGTGCTCCCACCACACGGTCCTGCCCTGAGGTGTGAACAGAGTACTGGGGGTTTGGAAGGTTGCCAAGGTAACTGTGTGTTGGAGGTGACAGGAAAAGGGAGTCTGGTAGAGCCTCTCCTCCTTACAGAGGGGAGGAGTTGTGAGCAGGAGCTGTTTCCTGCATTGGCAGGGGGCGTTGCAGCCCCCTGCCCAGCTGGCCTGGCTGCTGTGCCACGTCCCCAGGTAGCCAACCAAACATGGCCACTCAAACATGGCCGCGGCAGCACTTCCCTTTCATTCCGCTGCTGGTTTTCGTCGGATCACCCACCCACCCTCCCTTTAGTTCACTGCTTGGTTCTTGACATTGCTATGGACCTGCGGTTGGTCGCCTTGGTTGTCCAAGGGGCCTGGTAGGAATTTTTATCCAACTGGCAAATTGGCACCGGCCACTTGGTTTTTCGCCTACCTCGTAGCAAATAGTCACACCTTTCAGGTATTGGCGGTTAGGCATTGGAATATGTTTGTGTATTGGAGGGCAGGGTGTGGCCATCGCCTACCCCTCCACTTTATGGGTATTCCGGTAAAGGAATCCGGCGCCTTTGCTGGTGGCTAGGGCCATGGCATGACCCCTGGTGACATCAGGGAGAACTTTCAGTTGAAACCTGCTTACAATGGCCTCGTATAAACTTTCCCCATTCTTTTTAAAAGTTCTTGATTTCTGAGCTTCCCAATTAATTTTGCCATTTCAGCATAGTCCATCAACTTGGTTTGTCATTCTTCTCTGAGATGTCCTAAGGAAAAGCAGGACATTTAGGGATCAAGCCAGAAACTGGGACGGCTTCTGTAACTGACCTTGGAAAATAATGACACCAAGGTCTGTGAATAATGTAGCATATATTCTACTTGTCTAATACTGTCATGCCCAGGGTTCTTTTTAGTTCTATATTGCAAATCTTGATGATAGACAAAATAGAGTATAATGAGAACTACTATTATTAGCCAGGTAACTATAATATGATGTCTGAATTTTTCATACTCCTTTATCCATGCTTTGCCTCTGTACCGGATAATATAATATGCAACTTAAACAAAGAGCTGCACCTTGATGAGCTCATCACTTTATATGAATAAGCAGTTTAGTGCAGGGGAAAAACCACATAATTTATTTTTAAATATGTCTTTTCATGCTGCATAAAGCATCTCAGAGAATGCACCAATATCTAAATAATACATTTTGCAGAAATAGAGAGAGCTCCACAAGGCAGCATTGCCACATTATTTATCTTTCATTTTAAAAAATGAAATTGCACATAATTATCCTGTGCTATATAAGCCCATTTGTTGAAAGCTGGCAATGCCTTCTGCAATAACAACCTTTTGGAAAATACTGCTTACCATCCAGTTGAATGTAACTAGCTGTTATTAAGTAAATGTTAGGGAAGGGAATACTCAACCCGGACTATATCCTACTATGTATTATTAAATATTCTTGTACATCCCGCCCTACCACAGCCCAACTGTTTCCTACAAAGGCATAGGAACATTTTGCTTTGCGAGAACTGTAGATCATTGAGAGTCAAAATCAGTTTTATTATGCAATGGTGCCTACATTTTAAGCAGTAATTAGTTCTAGTAGCTCTGTGGTTCCATGTAAATAAATAACTACTGAATTGCTTTATAACTAAAAGAAATATGATGTCTTGCAATTAACTTCCATTCTATGCTTCTTTATACAAATGTTGGATTGTGTGTGGGAACAGGCGCACACAGAGAGGGCGAAAGCATGAATAATAATAATAATAATAATAATAATAATAATAATAATAAGTCCAATGCCCAGTGGACAGGAAACACCCTGTACTCATTCATTCAACACATGTAAAATGTTTTATTCTTATCAGTTCATCCTGTTTTGATTTCCCAGCAGTGAAATGGGAGTGGGGGATGAGTGGACCCCAAAACTATAATGGTTGGCCTTGTGGGAAGACCATTGAAACTTCCCTTCTGAAATTTCTTTTTCTTTTTCTTCTATATTTTTCATCTAGCCAGTGTGGTGTAGTGGTTAAGAGTGGTTGTCTCGTAATCTGGGGAACCAGGGTCGCGTCTCCGCTCCTCCACATGCAGCTGCTGGGTGACCTTGGGCTAGTCACACTTCTCTGAAGTCTCTCAGCCCCACTCACCTCACAGAGTGTTTGTTGTGGGGGAGGAAGGGAAAGGAGAATGTTAGCCACTTTGAGACTCCTTAAAGGGAGTGAAAGGTGGGATATCAAATCCAAACTCTTCTTCTTCTTCTTCTTCATATATACACACACACACACACACACACACACACATATAACATTTTAACAATTATTAAACATACTTTTATATCTTATACACATTTTCTATCAATCACATCTGAAAAGTTTCCAATCTTATCTCTTAGTTTACATTTCTTACTTTCACTATTACATTTAAATATTATAACTAATGTCTCTCTTCTTTCTCTTCTTTGCAATATTTCATATATTTTTCCTTACAAAACTTCTTGTAGTCCTACTAATGTAATTTGTTGATTACAGTTGCTCTTCAAATAATTCATATACTTCTTCCAGTCTTCTGTAAATCTCTGGTC